AAACGGACTGGCCAGTGCTTTAACAGCAATGATGGCCGGCGAGAGGAGCGGGTGCAGCATGATGCGCTGAGCCCACCATCGCCCGTGGCACCACCACGTGCACTTTGAACGTAAGATTGCCCTGAACAGCTGGCCCGGCACAGTGCGGGGACAGGTGCCACCAGCGGGGCTGCCCAGCTCCACAATGGGCGGATGTACGCCGCGCTGAGCCGCTCGCGCACGTCCATGGCCCCCAGGAGCGAGGCGAGGACCGCGAGGGCAGTGAGCAACTTTTTCCAGTTCCCCCTGGGGAGGATGGGCTGGGACGGGTCTGCCGGCACCGCCGTGAGGCCTAGGTGCTCCACCCGCTGCTTGCCCTGAGCGTCCCACTCCTGGCGTTTGCCGGCGTTCTCCACGAACCCGACGTCTTTGTCGAAGGCTTGCGTGGCCTCTAGACCGGGCCGCAGGTCCTCGGCGGCGCGTTCACCCTTCGCGCCCAAGCTTCTGTCGTCCATGAACGCCCAGCCCAGGGCGGGCTCTGGGCGCCACGGGACGAGGGCCGCCGTCATGGCACCCGGGGCGCAGCTGTCGCCCAGTGGCAGGGCCTTGGTAGGCCAGATGGCCTCTGAGAGCTCGTCCGAGACGCAGCAGACGCGAGGGCCAGCCCAAGCCAGCCGGCACGTCATGATGACCGTCTCGGGGACTGCCTCTTTTCTGAACGCCTCTTCAGCGATGCGGTGCGCAATATTATCGTACGCTTTAGTGAGATCCATCTCGAGCCCCGCGGTGCAGGCCTCCGAAAGCCAGTGGCTGACGGCGTGGACCACGGACGTGCGGCGACGGCACGCCCACTGGTTGGCTGCCACCTCTGGCAGGGCGAGCGCGAGGGCGCTGAGCCAGCTCCGGAGCAGCACGCTTGCCACGCCGATGGGGCGCGACTCATTCTCGTCTTTCTTAGGGATGCCGACCACGCGCCATGGGAACACCAGGAACACCAGCAGGGCCAGGTCGCGCGGCGCGCGGCCGGCGTGCTGTACGGCGTAGATGGACGTGTGGCACCACAGGCAGTACAGCTCGGTGATGATCGGCGGCGCGATCCGTAGCAGAAGCTTCACCTCCTTGGAGGTCCATCCGTCGAAACCGGCGGCGCCCTTGGCTTTCTTCAGGGAGTGGATGAACTCCTCCTCTGACAGGAGCCACTGCTCCTCGAAGGCGCTCTGCGGGAACTCCGCGCCCTCCGCCCGCTCCAACCAGCGCGCTGTCAGGGGCTCAGGGTCGTAGTTGGGAGGGCCCCAGTGTTGCTTCCACTCGTCCCGCATGGCCGCCGCGTCGAAGCCGGCGGCGGGAGCAGGCGCCCGGAAGCGCGGCGTGGCGTAGTTGTAGACGTCGGAGGTCCGCTTGGCGAACACGGTGGCCCACGATCGCACTTTGGAGTTTGATACCTTCTGCTGCTCGGCGGTGATGGCCGCAGAGAGGCTGTCCAGCGCACGGTGGTACGTAGGGATGCCCCCGGGCGGGGCCGTCACGACGCCATCCATGCAAGCTTGGGCGAACTTGGAGAGGTGCTTGTCGTTGAGCAGCACGTTGCCCTTGAAGTGGTGGCAAATCTGCTCAGTGAAGCTGCGGTGCAGGCGGCGGGCACGCCGGAGCGCGACCGTCTCCTCCAGCCGGTGCGGCGGTGGGGCTGCCGTGGGCCGGCTGGTGGGCATGCTGCCCTTTTCTCGCTCGGGTTTCCTCGAGCATGTCGTCCATTGCTTCGTGGTGGCTTCCTTGAGGGCGTGCTCTGCCCGGGCGTGCCAAGCCCTCCATCGGTTCACGAGGGGCTCGGTGGCCATCGGCTTCGGAGTCACCTGGTCGCACGACTCCATGATGGCCTCGATTTCGGCGTCTGTGATGAAGGACAACTTGTGGGCTTGATACTCGGCTGTGTGCTGGAGCCGGTAGAGCTGCCGGTGCTGTTCTTCAACCGTGAGCGTGAAGATGGACAGGCTATGGTACGGGATGCCCTCCACGAAGGTGTTCGACAAATGGGATGGCTCATGCTCGGGATCCCCTCCCCAGACGAGCAGGCGCGATGGTGTGCTTCCGGCCGTGGTGGTGGGGCCGCAGGGCGTAGCAGCCTGCCAACCAGCACACACCTCACGACAGTAGCCGGGCTTCCAATTCAGATCGGTAGTAGTAGTAGTAGTAGTAGTAGTAGTAGTAGTAGTAGTAGTAGTAGTAGTAGTAGTAGAATGTGTAATAATACTATTAAGAGTAGTAGTAGTAATCATAATGTGATTAGTAGTAGTACCAATCGTATTTGTGGTAATGGTGCTCGTACTAGAAGCAGTTATAGCAACAGTATTATTAGTATTACTAGTAGTAGTAGTAGTAGTAGTAGTAGTAGTAGTAGTAGTAATAGTAGTTGCTGTGGCAGTAGTAGTGGTGGCAATAGACTCGTAGCAATAGTCGTACGACTAGTGGAAGCACTAGTCGTAGTAGTAGTCGAAATATTACTAGTACTAGTAACCGTCGTAGTCGTAGAAGTGATAGCCATAGTTTGAAAATGGTAGTGATAGTAGTAGTGGTATTCGTAAAAGTAATAAAAGTAAGTGGTAGTAGAGGTCGTAGTAGTAGCAGTAGTAGTAGTAGTTGTAGTACGTAGGAGTAGTGGTGAAAGGTCGTAGTAGTGGTAGTAGTAGTAGTAATGATAATAGTCGTGGGAGAGATAACAGTCGTAGTGGAATAGTAATAATAATATTCGTAGAAGTAGAATCTGTATTAGTAGTTGTAGTAGAAGTAGAAGTTGTAGTAGTAGTGGTAGTCGTAGTAGTAGTTGTTGTAATAACAGTAGTAGTAGTAGTACAAGTAAGATCAGTAGTAGTAGTAGTAGTAGTAGTAGTAGTAGTAATAGTAGTAGTAGTGGTAGTAGTAGTGGTAGTAGTAGTAGTAGTCGTAGTAGTAGTAGTAGTAGTAGTAGTAGTAGTAGTAGTAGTAGTAGTAGTAGTAGTAGTAGTAGTAGTAGTAGTAGTAGTAGTGCTAATAGTAGTAGTAGTACTAGTAGTAGTAGTAGTAGTAGTAGTAGTAGTAGTAGTAGTAGTAGTAGTAGTAGTGTTAGTAGTAGTAGAGTACTAATACTAGAAATAATGAGAGCAGGATCATCTCCGCCGCGACGACGGCGACGACGACGAAGGGGGGGAGAGGAGGAGGAGAAGGAGGAGGAGGAGCAGGATGAGGAGGAGGAGCGAATTCGTTTCGCACAAGGGGGGGCGAAAATACAGACCTCATGAACTTACCTGTGGCATAGGGAACTGGGCCTGGCTGTCGGTCTGGCGCCTATGATGTCGCCGTCGCAGCCTCGTCGCCCCCTCGTCCCCGCCCGTCGCGGGGGCCTGGGCGCCGGTCTGGCGGCTATGCTGTCGCCGACGCCGCCGCGTCGCCGCCTCCTCGTCGCCCGTCAAGTGGGCCTGCATCGCTTCGCCTTGCATTGCAGCGAGTTGCTTTGCATTTTTGTCTTACACACACCCATGTACATATATGTATATACGTATGTTTTCACATCTGTAGATGTGTATGCACCTATGTATATACATACATGCAAATATTCTCCCTGAAGGGTTCTTACCTGTGTTCTTGAGCAACCGACGGCTGGTCGTCGCACAAGAGTACACGGCGTGACAAGGTTTCGGTTGTTGTTCTGCTTTTCGGCCCTGCCCGCCGGCCACCCGAAGAGACCGGCGACCCCCCCAAACCATCTCCCCAAGACGGCCAAAATGGCCAAAGATGGCCTGCAAGATTGCCAAGATGGACTCCAACACGGTCCCAAGATACCTCGAAGATGCCCACGATGGCCCCAGTAGAATTGAAGATGGCTCAAAGATGCTTCCAAGACGGCCCAAGGCGCCCCCAAGACTTGTCAATATTACCTCCAGGCGACCCCCCAAGAAGACCCCAAGACGCCTCAAGAGAGCTCCAAGAGGACCTCCAGAAAACCAAAACAATTGATTGCCTCATGTTGTTCAATAATCATAACGTTCTAGCCATTTCAAGATCCCGACGCCCCACACTTGCGGCCCAGGAGGCCCACAAGACGGCCCAAGAGGACCGAAGACGGCCCAAGCGGCCCCCGAGACGGCCCCGAAGCGGCCCCATAGACCTCCAAGACGGCCCTGAAGCGGGCAACTAGAAATTCAAGCCTGCCCAGATAGGGCCCCAAGACGGCCTGCAAAGGAAAGGAGGTTCCTTAGAATCCCCCAAAGGCCGCCAAGAGGCCCCAAGAGGCCCCAGGAGGCCTCAAAGGGGCCACACGAGGCCCCCAAGAGGCCCCAGGAGGCCTGCAAGAGGCGCCCCTGGAGCCCCAAGGGGGCCTGAAGAGGCCGTCTCTTCCTCATGGAGGCCTACGTCTGGCCGCAAAAGGCCCCCAGGAGACCAACGCCTGGCCGCAGGGGCGTTTTCGAAAGGCATGGCGAGGGGGCGGCGATTCGCCGTAGTCGCCTTCGATTGAACCCTGACAGAGAAGAAACATAATAATGAAACAACCTCTTGGAGCCCAAAGGACGCCTTTCCCGTATGCCACCTGACCTGAGGGAAAAGGGGTCCTGAGGGATCTGAATGATCGTTGGTTGACTCGTCATTTAGAAGCCCTCAGGACACTTTTTTCCCACAGGGCCAACGCCGATCGGCAAAACAATGAAGAAGAAGAAGAAGCGATCTTCCAAAGCCCCCAGGAACCTGGGCCCCCTCCTCCTCTTCCTCCTCCTCCTCCTCCTCCTCCTCCTCCTTCCTCCTCCTCCTCCCCTCCTCCTCCTCCCCTCCTCCCCTCCTCTCCCCTCCTCCATCCTCTCATCCCCTCCCCCTCCCCTCCTCTCTCCTCTCCTCTCTCTCCTCTCCCCCTCCTCCTCTCCCCCTCCTCCTCCCTGCCCTCCTCCTCCCCTCTCTCATCCTCCTCCTCCTCCTCCTCCTCCTCCTCCTCCTCCTCCTCCTCCTCCTCCTCCTCCTCCTCCTCCCCCCCCTTGCCTTTGCGGGTGCCCCCTCGCGGCCTTCGCCCTGGGCGTGCAGGGCCGCTGGCACGGCATCAGCTGCACGGAGCCCGACCGCGCGCTCTGCGGGGGCGCCGCCGCGGCTCCGACCTCCGGGGGGGGGAGGGGGGGGGGGAAGCGAAGGACGAGGCGGGCGCTAAGGCGAGGCGAGGGAGCCTGGAGCGAGGGAGGCGGAGGGAGGGGGTCGAAGGCGAGGGCGGCCAGGGACGGGGCGAGGGAGGCCGGCGACGAGGGAGCGAGGGAGGGGCCAGGGGCGAGGCGGGGGAGGCCAAGACGAGGGAGGCTAAGACGAGGGCGAGGGCGAGGGAGCTTCGGGGGGGGGGGAAGGCTAAGACAAGACAAGGACGAGGATCAATTCGGGTGGGGATAAATCGAGAAACCCGGAAATCCGGCGGCTCTGGAGCATGTCTCGGGCGCCGCGGCCTTCTCAGAACATTCTGAAACGAGTTCAGACTCTGGAACGGAATCATCCTCGTCCTAGCCCCGTCCACAAAGAGGCGGAGCAGAGACAGGATCGGTCAGCTTCGGAATGCAAGGAGGCAAGGGTGCCCTTGGAAACCTGCTCATCCTCACGATGCAGTTTGTCTGTGCCGATGCCGCTGCTCCCCGCACCTCGCCCAGGGTGCGTTCTGACTAGTGGCAGACGACTTTAGCTCCTAATCCACGAGTTGCCCCGAAAAGTCAAGCCGTGGAGGGAACAGTGGGAACTCGGCGGTATAGCCGCATGAGGCTGTTCGGACGCACCCTGTTGAGGATAGGCGCCACCATGCGCCACCACTTGTAGATCCCCGAGTTTGGTCCCGCATCCTCTTCCTGTCAAAAAGGTCACAACGTCGGGGATTGGGCCCGAAACACCCCACGCTAGCCATGAACTCAAGGCGAATCAAACCGCGGCGCCGAAAGAGGAGCTGCAAGAGACGAGCCCTGGACAACGAAGCTTTCCGATTCTCGCCACGTTTCAATCTCTCGACGGCCCAGGGCCGCGCGATGCCGAACACGGCCACCCTGAGACCCTTTCTTTGTTCAAGGGCGCCTAACTTCGCGCTTCGCGCTGCACGATGCGCGAATAACTTCGCGCTCTCGCGCTGCCCCCCTGGGGTGAAGAAGAGGAAGAGGCTGAATCTAGAGGCCTCCCAGATGGGGTCGGAGTAGACGGGGTCGGAGGATCGCGCCGTCATCGCCGATACATCGGCGATGCATCGGCGATGTACTGGCGATGCACCGGCGATGCATCCTCGACATCGGCGATGCATTAGGCGCGTCGACATGAAGCAACTTGGGCCCTACATCGAGCCGCATCGGCGATGCATCGGCGATGCGCCGCGATCCTCGAACCTCATCTGCTCCGACACCATCTAGGCGGCCTAGAGAATCGGAGCCGCAAGACGCGAAGCGCTAAGGACTTCTTGGAAGCTGGGCGAAGGCTGGCAAATCCGTTGCTGCTGATACAATATTCCCGGAAGAGAAACAAACATCCCGGAATCAAGCTGACCGCACAACAAAAGGAAACGGGCTGCTCCCCGGAAGACAAAAAAGAAATTTCCCCGAGCTCTGTTGTATAGCAGCCACGGGCTTGCCAGCCTTCGCTGCTATCGGAGCCGATGGGCGGGATCAGCGCACTGGAAAATAGGGCACCCAAACACTTTAGGACACCTAAAACAGCTAGATCACATGTTACGTGTCCTGTTTGTTTAGAACGTTGGTGCTCCAGCCACAGGCTTGCCAGCCCCTCTGAGTTGGTGCTCCAGCCACAGCCTTGCCGCCACAGGCCTCCAGCTGAGGCCCTCCTCCGTGGAGGGAGGGGGCCCGACATCCGGAGGAGGGAGGGACCCAAACATCAGGACCGGCTTTGCCTCCTCCTCCTCCTCCTCCTAATTATGCCTCCTCCTCCTCCTCCTCCTCCTCCTCGCCCGGCCTCTGAGCTTCGCGCCCTCGAGGGCGCCCCCTGCTGAGCCCGCAGGCGGCGACGCCCTCCGTCGCCCTTTCGCACCTCCCCGCAGGCCCTCCCCTCCCCGACCCCGGGAGGCCTCTCCCCTCCGAGAGGCCCGCCGTCGCCTCCCCCCCCCGGAGGAGGGGGAGGAGGAGGGGGGGAGGAGGGGGAGGAGGAGGAGGAGCGGAGGAGGAGGAGGCGGAGGAGGATGGATGGGTGGTGGTGGGTGGATGGCGGATGGATGGATGGATGACATCTGGATGGATGGATGGATGGTGGGCCATGATGGCACCCATGAGCCTATCCTCTTCTGCCTCCTGCCCTCCTCCCCTCCTCATCTCCTCCCCTCGCCTCCTCCTTCCCTCTTCCTCCTCCCCCTCCTCTCCTACTCCTCGCCTCCTCCTCTCTCCTCCTCCTCCCCCTTCTCCTCCGCTCCCCTCACCTTCCTCCTCCCCCCCCCTCCCCCTCCCCCTCCCCTCTCTCCTTCCTCCCTCCTCCTCCTCTCTCTCTCCTCCTCGTCCTCGTCCTCGTCCTCGTCCTCGTCCTCGTCCTCCTCCTCCTCCTCCTCCTCCTCCCCTCTCCTCCTCCTCCTCCTCGTCCTCGTCCGTGTCCTCGTCCTCCTTTCACCCTACGCGAGATCCGCCTTCCCTCGCCGGGGGCGCACAAAAAATGGATTAGCGATTCATGGATTTGGCGCGCAGTCGCCAAATCCATGGATCGGGGGAGGCACCCTTCCCAATCTGCGTCCGGTGCCGCCTCGTTCGGCGGCGGGAACCAGCGATTTCCCACGGAAACGGGTCCGCTAATGAACGCCCCCTTGGTCCATGTTTGCGACCGCCTGACCCCTGCTGCACGCAAGAGTGGCCTTGGGCAAGAGTGGCCCTTCATGCGCGGACTCATGGGGCGCAAGGCGGCCAAATCCAGGCACTTCGGCAGCCCTTGTCGCATCGCGCTCAGCGATGCGGAAGGACCCCAGTGAGCCCGCACTCAAGGTCACGCCGGCGAAGGGTCACTTGAGCAGGGATCGATCGACTTGCCATTCCCAAAGGCCTTCAACGACATGTACTTAGAACCAAGAAATGTTCAAACAACAGAGGCAGTGCTCCTACCATATACGTAAGATCGATGTGCTAAAACAGCACAAGTCTAAACAAAACATGCTCAAAGAACATCTCGTACAGACCACAATCAATTCTTAGAACCTTATGAGAACATTATTACGTGTATCTGGGTGACCCCAAAGGGGGTCCAGCTGAAAGGGGGTGGTGCAATAAATTTGGGGCAATTGTATTGCAAATGTATTGCGCCAGAGAATTGTTTTGCAATGTATTGCACGTAATTTACTGCGCGCGGCAATCCAGCAATACATTTGCGCCCTAGAATGTAGTGCAAGGCCCAAGTGTATTGCACCCCCACCAATCTATTGCACCAAATCTATTGCACCACCCCCTTGTCGCTGGACCCCCTTGTGGGTCAACCCGAACTCTTACGTGTAGTTGATTCCAGCCCTCCTTCCCTGCGATGAATCCCACCAGCCCTTTAGGGCGTCGGTGGTTTAACGAGTTTCCTCTTCCACCCCTCCTTCTTCCCCTTCGGGGAGGGGTTTACCCCTCCCCCTACCCCCTCCCCACTGACCTGGACAGGGGGGGCGGGGAGCGGTCAGAGCGTCCAAAACGGCCTCGCCGAGGAAGCCAAAATCATTGATTTTACTAAGGTTTTGGCCCCATTTTGGCCTTCTGAGGGGGCAGCGCTAATTGAAGCTCCCCTCTTCTTTGATCGATTTCCTCCAAGATGGCCCCAAGAAGCGCCCAGGAGGCACCAAGAGGCCCCAAGATGGCCCCAAGATGGCCCCAAGAGGCCCCCAGGAGGCCCCCAAGAGGATCCCAAACGGCCCAAAGAGGCCCCCCCGAGGCACCCAAGACGCCGAAAAGCCCCTCAGGACGACCCTCTGATCGCCTGGGCGTCGTTTCTGGACGGGCTGGTGGGGATACGCGAAGCGTTTAGAATTCACTGTCCAGCGCGCCGGCGTGCGAGTCAAGGTGCGTGCCCTCAGGCCAAAAAAAGCCAGCCCCGCTTGATGGGCCTGTTTTCCACCACCACCACCATAAGTTGGAGGGTGGGAAGGAGGAGGAGGACGAGGAGGAAGAGGAGGACGAGGAGGAGAAGGAGGAGGTGGAGGAGGAGGACGAGGACGAGGAGGAGGACCCCCTGCCCCTCCATCTTATGGTGGTGGTGGTGGAAAACGGGCCCATCACCGCTGACCCCCTGCCGCCAGGCGACGGGGGCAGGAAGCCGGCAGGAGCCTGGCACTGCAGGGCAAGGCAAGGATCACTGCGCTGACCTTGCAGACGTGCTGCAGCGGATTTGGGCACAGATGTCTGTCAGTGCAAAACCCCCGAAACGGCAGGCGACAAACGAAATTGATGTCACGTGGATGTGTGCTTAGTCTTCATTTCCGGCAAAAGAAATCCGCACGAAATTCATTTCGAAATACGGAGCGAAAGTATCCAGGACAATCCGGGCCCATCCGATTGTTTTCCGAGCGAAAGCTGCGATGTTGGCGCCATGGCAAAGAGGACAAGTTGGAGGAGGAGGACGCTCTCCTCTCCAGGCAAACGTGTTCCGCTAGTCGCGAAACAACCATTTGCAAATGGCCTGTATCCGCCCGGGGGACTTACAATCCGGTATATCGAAGCAAGAATGTGTTGTTCGAACGTTTGCGAGTAGGCACTTTGCGAGTAGCGAAGTGCGCTCGGCGAAAGAACGAGGAGAACGCGCACCTCTCCCCAAGCGTCCTTCCAACCTGACGTCGCCCGCGTCTGCCGAGAAAGAAGATGGCACGGGAATGGGGAAGGGCAGGAGGGTGGAGAGACTGCGGCAATCTGGAAGAAGCGGTGAGGGACCAGGTCCGAATTCACCTCTGAGCCCCATGGTACTGCGCGGGCCTTCTTGCCGGTTTTCTTGGGCACGTTGTGGTCCGCATTCTCGCCGGCGTGGTCGCGCCTTCGGGTTCGCACGGGCCGACGGCGGGCAAAGGCCAGGGGCCCTCTGCAGCAACATGGCCAGACGGCCGACGTCGCCATCTCTGCGCCACGTGGCTCGCGAACAGCCTGGGCCCCTCGGGGGGACCCGCTCTTCATCCAAGGCCGCGCCTGGGCGGTTCCAGTGCCGAAAAAAACAGCCGGAGCCTGTCATTTTACGATCCGCGAGAACGGGCGTGATCGGGGTGGGCCCCGCTCCGCATCACGGCACGGCGGGGAGCCGCCGTGAGCACCAAAGCGCCCCTGCGCGCACCGCCAGGGGCTGCGAGCAGCACGACAGCGCGCCAGCGGGCACCACATGGACCACGAGACGGCGCACGCATGAGAGCAGCGCAGCGTGCTCGCGAGGTGAGCGGGGGTTTGCGTGACCCAAAAGGGGGTGCAGCTGAAAAGGGGGTGGTGCAATAGATTTGGGCGCAATTGTATTGCAAATGTGTTGCGCCAAAGAACTGCATGGCGCCCCGGAATGTATTGCACGCCCCACACGTATTGAAACCCCCCACATCTATTGCACCAAATCTATTGCACCGACCCCCTGCCGCTGGACTCCCACTTGGGGCGACGGGTCAACTGGAAACTCGTCGCCGCCCGCGCCCTGGGGCCTCTGGAAACCTCCGGAGGCTTCCAGGGGCCACCCGGCTCCCCCCCAGTGCCAAAGAACGCCGACGACGAAACATTAGGCATGTGCGCGCTCCCCCTGCTCCTCATCCTCGTGCTCTTCCTCCTCCTCCTCCTCCTCCTCCTTTCTCCTCCTCCTCCTCCTCCTTTCTCCTCCCTTCTTCTCCGTTCTCCTCCTGCTTCGCCTCCTTTCTCCTCCCTTCTTCTCCGTTCTCCTCCTGCTTCGCCTCCCCCTCCTCCTCGGCTCTGCTCCTCCTCCCTCATTCTTTTTCTCCTCCATTTTTCTGTCCGGAAGACAGCGACGGCGGCAAAGGCCTGGGAACCCTTTTAAAAGCTTTTGAGATGATCCTTTTCAGAATCCTTCGGAAATCTTTGCAAACTTCGGCAAAACTGTGTGACGTGATCCGGGGGGGGGGAAGAGGGTCGATCACGGCCGCTCTCGCCCCGACCTTACAAAAAACAGTCTAGGATAGACTTATCCCCGTCCTATGTGGGCCAGGGCTCCTCAGCATCACCCACCTCATTACCGTCTCTAGGTGAGGATAGGTGCTACGGAACTCGACAGAAACAACACCCATCCCAACCCAGGGAGCGCACTCGTCCGCTCTCGGCGGTTGCTGAGCCCTGGGAAGCTTCCAAGCATGATCCAAAATCATCATGTTCAGCATCATCAGGTTCAGCATCATCATCGCTACCAACATCGGCATCATCGTCGTCGTCGCCCTCGTCGCCAACGCAACCATAATCTCAATACCCACCCGCCCGAGTCAGGGGTCTTCATGAGAAGGGTCCTCCCGCCATTACGCCATGTGGGTTTGTGGGTGGGATGCTTGCGTGAGCATTTGAAGTGGCCACGCGCGCATACCAGCAATGCGGATTGCTTCCACATGGTTCGCCCCATGTGATGGACCCCATATCTCGTATCCAACATACATCATTCCATCATATGCCCATCGTAATTTGCACTCCCTAGACAGCGCCCCACGTACTGCATCCCAACAAAAACACCCCAGGGGGTGCACATCAGAGATCGCACTCCACATGTTGCACCTACAAATTGCACCCCGTTGACTGTCTGGCGCCACTGTTTTGGGCCCGCGCGCTGGCATCGCGCACCACAGCCACACGACCGCCGCGGGAACGACGCACGGGACAAGCACGGGCCAGCCACGGGACGGGGCAATGGCACGGCGCCGTGGACGGGAGGAGTCGAACCATTTGCCGTGGCATGCCCGCATCTAGGGCAGTGTCTCTTTGGGTGACTCAGAAGGGGGTCAAGCTGAAAGGGGGTGGTGCAATAGATTTGGGGGCAATTGTATTGCAAATGTATTGCGCTGGAGACTTGTATTGCATTGTATTGCAACTCGTGTATGTCCCGCGAAAATGTAGCAATACATTTGCGCACTGGAATGTATAACACGCCCCAAAATATATTGCAACCCCACCGATCTATGGCACCAAATATATTGCACCACCTCCTTGTCGCTGGACCCCCCTTGGGTCAACCCGCGTCTCTCTCGCACGCATGCGGCTTGACCTCGCTCAGACGCAAGACGCGAACCGACACCGAATCTCAGCTCCTTGTCTGGGCTGTTCGCCTCGAGACCTCCTCCTCCAGGCCCGGCTGCTCACCCAAGAAGCCGCTCCCCGGACGCCCCCAGCGCCGGCCTCCGAAGACCGACAAGGGAGGAACACCTGAGACCCGTTCTTCTAGATGGGATAACAGTTTCCAAACTATCCTCCCCATCCTCCCTCCCCCCTCCTCCCTCCTCCCTCCTCACTCCTCCCTCCTCCCTTCCCCTCCTCCCTTCCCCTCCTCCCGCCTCCCGCCTCCCTCCTCCCGCTAGTCGTAAGTTGTCCGTTGTCGCCGTCGAGGTCATCATCGTCGTCGTCGCCATCGTCTAAAGAGAACGGGAAAGGTGAAACCACTCGATCCTTGACGTATGAAGGCGCCTAAAATAGATTGGGACCTGGGAGTCCCAAAATGCTTACTTTTATCGACCGATGGGTAATTAAGGAGCCGAACTCTATATACACCGACGCCTTTGTCTGGTGTCGCACTGAATCTCGCACAGGAAAGCGGATCCTGGTGTATGCGGGATCCTGGTGTGTACATTCTTCGTCGTTTCCCCAGAAACACGGGGAAACAAGTATACACCACACCACCCTGACGTCGTCCCCGGCCCTCAAAAAAAGTCCGGTCGTTGAACAACCGCCCGCCACTCATAGCGTGCATGTTCCGGTTTCCGAGTCATGTCCAGTCTGCAAGCGCCCTGCCTGGTTCCGACCTTGCGTGCAGCCCGAGCCTGGGTAGTCGAAGCCAATCTGGCGCCAACCTGGCAGGCCCAATCTGGCAAACGGGGGCAATCTGGCGAGGGAGCCAACGCGAATCCAGCCTGGCGAATAACCCAAATCCTCCAATATGGCCAGGCCAGATTGGCCCTTGGGGCCCAATCCAGTCTGACAGTCTGGCCTTCGACTACCCAGTGAGCGCCGGGGGGAGAACAAAAAAAGGGGGCCGAGGCCGCTGCGCTGCCCTCGCCGCCGCGGCTGGATGTTCGCCTCGAGATCTCCTCGTCGGGGCGACCCCCCCCCCCCCTCGGAGAGGGCCGTGGAGCAGCTCGTAGGTCTAGGTCGGGCATGTCCCCCTACAAGGGGATTTTGGACGAAAAATTTAAAATACGCAAAAAAAAAAAGCTCCAAAATTGTCAAACCAATACTTTAAAAAATCATCCCCATATTGTTTTTGAACTATTTTTGAATATTCCCCCCTTAAGAGGGACAGGCCCGACTTAATCGTAGGTCGGGCATGTCCTCCCACGGGCGGGTTCTGGACGAAAGATGAAGGCACCCAAGAAAGAATCCAACAAACATTCAACCATGGTCGAAGGAACTCGTCCCCAGACTCTAGTTTGACTATTTTACCTAACAGCGAAGACTGATAGGTTTCTAGTCGGCTCAAAAGAGAGCATCTTGACTCCCCAAGGGGGTCTGGGCAGATGCCGGACGGGTGCCGGGGAGAATCCGCGGAAGTCGTTTTAAGCAAACAGTTACACACTTCGTGGTCTTCGAGCTCCCAGAACTCCATTGCTGGGCATGTTTTTGAATGCCCGGGGCCAACTGTAGGCCACTTCGTGATCTTCGAATTCCCAGAACTCCATTCCTGGGCCACATTCTGAATGCCCGGAGCCAACTGTAGGTCGAGTTCCCAGAACTCCATTCCCGGGCCACATTTTGAATGCCCGGAGCCAACTGTAGGCCACTTCGTGGTCTTCGAGTTCCCAAAACTCCAGTCCTGGGCATGATTCTGAATGCCCAGAGCCAACTGCAAGCCACTTCGTGTTCTTCGGGCTCCCAGAACTCCATTCCCGGGCCACATTTTCAATGCTGAGGCAGGCTGATGCTGAGGCTGAGGCAGGCTTATGCTGAGGCAGGCTGAGGCTGAGGCTGAGGCTCATGCAGGCTGAGGCTGAAGCAGGCCGAGGCTGCGGCCGAGACGGAAGGCAGACTGATGCTGAGGCTGAAGCAGGCTGAGGCTGAGGCTGAGGTAGGCTGAGGCTGAGGCTGAGGCAGGCTGATGCTGAGGCAGGCTGAGGCTGAGGCTGAGGCTGATGCAGGCTGAGGTTGAGGCAGGCTGAGGCTGCCGAGGCTGAAGGCAGACTGATGCTGAGGCTGAAGCAGGCTGAGGCTGAGGCTGAGGCAGGCTGAGGCTGAGGCTGAGGCAGGCTGAGGCTGAGGCAGGCTGAGGCAGGCTGAGGCTGAGGCCGAGGCTGAAGGCAGACTGAGGCTGAGGCTGAAGCAGGCTGAGGCTGAGGCTGAGGCAGGCTGAGGCTGAGGCTGAGGCAGGCTGATGCTGAGAGGCTGAGGCTGAGGCTGAGGCTGATGCAGGCTGAGGCTGAGGAGGCCTGAGGCCGAGGCTGAAGGCAGACTGAGGCTGAGGCAGGCTGAGGCTGAGGCTGAGGCAGGCTGAGGCTGAGGCTGAGGCTGAGGCTGATGCTGAGGCTGAGGCAGGCTGAGGCTGAGGCGAGGCTGAGGCTGAGGCCGAGGCTGAAGGCAGACTGAGGCTGAGGCTGAAGCAGGCTGAGGGCTGAGGCTGAGGCAGGCTGAGGCTGAGGCAGGCTGAGGCTGAGGAGGCTGAAGGCAGACTGAGGCTGAGGCTGGCTGAGGCTGAGGCTGAGGCAGGCTGAGGCTGAGGCTGAGGCTGATGCAGGCTGAGGCTGCAGGCTGAGGCTGAGGCTGAAGGCAGACTGAGGCTGAGGCGGAAGCAGGCTGAGGCTGAGGCTGCAGGCTGAGGCTGAGGCAGGCTGAGGCTAGGCTGAGGCTGAGGCTCAGGCTGAGGCAGGC